CAGTGTGGGTGACTCATGTGAAACCGTCTCATGGTCAACAGTTCTGAGGACCGACTGAAGCCACACATGCATTAGTCAAACGAGTGTCAACAGCAGTGGGAAAACAAAAGTGTTGTTTTGGATTTACCCCTCACACCGCAGTGACAATACCTCGGGTTCTTGTTCCGCTGTCCTGAGCCCCTGTCACTGAAGTGTGTGTGAACGGACCACCTAGCCGCGACAAAGACAGATCTTGTTACCAAACAAAGTGGCCACTTTGGCCAGGAATTCGACGTGAGCGATAACCCCAGCGCCCCCTCCCAACATTCCCTCCATTCAGACCATCTGAGGCGTGGACAACGTGGCTACACAGGGTTAACGATGCGAGCCGCCGAGGCTGCAGCAACATCAGAGAGAAGAAGAATAGAGGGCGCCGCTGAGCTTATACGTCTTAAAAACATATAAATATTACTGTGGTAAATATTAGATGAAAACAGCTACTACCAGTAAATCAACAGTTCCTACTCGGAGCTACCAAGAAATAAGACGCTTTCACAAGAAGCAGGAAACTGTCGACTGCAGCAGAAACAAAATCCAAAGAATCATTTTTTTTCCTGTGAACCTGAAGTAACCTTAGCATCATCATCCAGTCAACCAGAGGCAGAAGTCAAAATGTTCCTTCACTTATACATGGGTCTCATCGTAGTCTACGAATACAGTTGTTCCCAAACTATGGGGCAGGACCCACTTAGGGGGCACATAGAAGCAAAATATATTATAAAAATATTATATATACATATACATATATACATATATAGTATATAGTTGGGAGATATTTTAACATAAATTACTGTCAAAAAAACTGCCATAAAATACATTTTAAATTTAACAACACATTAATTTTCTAAATAACTTGTTACTTTATTCATGTTTTAGTAAATCTGACAACTTTCTTTTTTTTTAATGGTCGCATATGCACTAACAGATAGCAGATGTCATAGACCTGATTAAGGTTGTTTTTAGAAGGCAGTCGAATTATGCCTGTTTCACTGGGGCAAAAACCAAGTTTTCCTCCTCCAATCAATACAGCGTTTGTCAGCAGACGTTTAAAACAATCCCAATTTTATGGATTCAAACAAACACAAACACACTGCACAGGACCCCAGTGGGTGTTTTGCATCCGCACCGCTTTCTCAGCTTGCATTGAGTTCATAATTTGTTCATGCTATAGGGTAAGAAGACACAGAGAAGCCATTACCCTGACACCTCACTCCGGGCCGCCGCTGCTAATGAAGACAAGCTGCTGCAGTGAGGAGGCAGATATGAGACGAAATGTCATCAGGAGACCTTGGAACGCGGCACAGAAACGTGTCACGGGACAAAACTACTTAAAATGCTATCTAGTTAGTGCTATTATGGGACTATATATTTGTTTCCATTATACCAGAAGCCCATAGTTGTGACAGGAAGATGAGGAACACTCTGGACTAAATGTCACTCCACAAAACTCGAAATTTGTCAGTGCAGTGGAAATATGTTTGCCTTGATTGGTTGTAAACTGATCTAAATCCCTAATCTGATTAATCAAAAGGTAGCTGTTGATTAATCGTGATTAACCATCATTCATAAAGATAGAAATTAAATTAAAAATAAAAATGACTCTTTTGATATTTTTATACACTTACTACACTTTCATATGTACTCAAATCAAATCCCCCAGATTTGTTTGGCATTTTAGGTAAAATAAGAGCAAATTTGTAAAACTCTATATAAAACCAGCATCTTTGTTTACATTGGTCTTGTCTAATTTGCAGTATTTTCTCATACATAATAACCTGCGCCTGGGACGCCGACGTCGCCACACACCCGTCTGCAGTGAAGAGACGAACAGTCTTAATCTACACCGCGGTGATCTCAGCTGCAGTCTGTCCCACCTGAGAAAGTCTCCTTCACTGAGACAAAACAGAAGATCGGAGACAAGAGCAGCAGAAACACAGAGGAACCATCTGATGAGGAGACAGTTTCCCACGACCACGGTGTCTCCACTGAGACCCACACACCTGTACAACCATCCAGGTACAAGCTGGAGGAGTGAGGCTGGACTGTACGTCTGTGTGTGTGTGTGTGTGTTGATGCAGGAGTGTGTGGTCTACTATCACCTGTTGTTTTGACAGCAAGGTATAGAGTGAAAGAGACAGAGAGACAGGAGGTCTCTTGAATTTTTGCTTCCACTCTGGGAACTTTTTTGAACCCTGACCTTTGTTGGGATCTGACTTTTTGTTGAATATTATGTGTTTCAAATATATTTATTAGAATAAACATATTTGAAACAATTAAAGCAATGCCGTCAGGAGTCGGAACGCTTCCTCTGTGAGAATAGGTAAGATAATGCACTGTATGAAGCCACAGAGACAAGAGACAAATGCAATACAGCCTGCAAATTCAAGTAGTGGCTCGCGGCCCACATGTGACCCAGACAAAGTCTCAGTATGGCCAAGTCTGGGGTCATTTGAGAAACAGAGGGAAATGAGAGAGCAAATTGGCTAGAAACCTAGATTATCATTTTATATATATATATAATTCTGAATAACTAAAGTTAATAAAAATGATTACAAGACATTACTGTTGAGATTTGCTTAATCCAGTAAAGTTCAGATCAGTGAATAAAGGAATTATATTGTATTAATATTGTATATATTCTCATTGTAAGAACAACTAAAAAAATCAAAGTTTTCAAAGGTCAGTGTCTTTCGTCGGCAACTGTTTTTGGGGCCTGTATGCTGTGTATTTAGTATGTTCCCAAACACACACACACCCCTACACGTATCAGATAAAAAGCTAAGATAAATTATTATCACAGTACGTGAGGAGACAAAGGGCTGAGATGAGTGTTGGATTAGCGTTCTGGTTGACTGGCAGCCACAGACACGAGGGTCCAGAGCCAAACCACAGAAACCACTTTCTCACAGTCTGTGTGTCTGCGAGTGTGTGAAGTGGAAGTCGTTATGGAGGAGTGGAATCACAGTGATATTTGGGTTAGTCACTGCAACCGTACACCATGTACACTCCACTACCTGACGTGGTGGGAAAGGTGAGGATTTCAGTTTAAAACTAAATAAAGTGAGTGAAGTTCAACTGACAAACAGAAGTTACATTAAATACTGAAAATTATAAAAAAAATAAAGAAAATTAAATATAATTCAAGGTTGAATGGTACGTGTGCATCATTCTGCCCATATGTTTTGTAAAGTTTTAAACTGATGAATAAAATGATAAATGAGTTTCTGTTCTTTTCATAATTTTATATGTAGTATTTTCTTTAAATATTATAATATAAATGATAATATAAATTATGACTAATCGAGATCACATTTAATCATGATTAATTATGATTAAATCCTCAGCTACCTTGTAATTAATCAGATTAATTGAAAAATTAATTAATTGAATCCCTTGACAGCATTAGTTCTCACAGTTACCCATTGTGTTTAAAGTTTAAATTTAAAAATTTAAATCCAAATGTTTTCAGTTCCCTCCCAGGAACTTGTCATGGGTCTCTGTGCTGGCAGAGATTTTGTTCTGTTCCAGGTCTTTGTCTGAAACAATGTAAATTATCTTGTGGTTCTGACCATTTTGAGAAAATTCCAGAACCGATGACATATATTTGCATATATTTTGTACCATTAATCTGTTCCAGGTCTTTGTCTGAAACAATGTAAATTATCTTGTGGTTCTGACCATTTTGAGAAAATTCCAGAACCGATGACATATATTTGCATATATTTTGTACCATTAATAAGTTATAAAAAGTCCATGACAGTAGAGTTAGTTCAACTCAGACAGCTGTAATATTCACCTCACATGTGTCAAACCCACACTCCTCCTTCAGACAGATCTAAAGTTACTGTATGTTCACCTAACAGTACCACAAACATGACTGCAGGCTCCAGGGCAGAGAGACCACTCCACATCCACGGCTCAGACCGACTGTGCAGCTGTGAAGGTTCATATTGTGCAGCAGTAAACTCACACACACAGACACAGAGTTTTGTGCTTATTTAAGGGTCAGAGGAGGTTTACAGTCACTGCTGTTTGAGCCCCAGGCAGCGCAGCACGGTGCGACCTCGCTCCCTGACCTTTGGTGATCTTCTGTTATTACATGGCTGAGTTTATTCTTTCCAAACATTTACTCTTTAAAAAAAAAAATCACAACTTAGATTTTGCTGTCTGAGTCTGAGAGGAAGGAAATCTCAAAGGACTTACTTTTCGCAAAAGTATCTTCGTACTACAGCGCCACCTGTGGTATGAGGGTTGAATTTAAAAGAGTTTTGTCCATGCAGCTGTTTATATTCTACTAACTTTGATGTTTTATTCTTATAAATACTAGTAGAAATGCTTCAAAAACACTGTGGTATTTCCTCAAGGTTACTTTACTTCAACAAACATTTTCTCTTCTTATAGTAGGAAACTACCAGCGGCTTGAACTGGCCATCGTACGCACATTCAAGTGGATTAGATGGAGTGTGACGGAGGAAAGTGCACAGCGCTCATTTGTTTAATGTGAGCGCAATGATGGAGAAAAATAGCTGAATAGTACGGCCGTGATGTTTTAATTAACAGGCGAGCAGGAGAACGGGATAATTAAAATGGTTTCCTGTCAGTAAAGGTTAAAGGTCAGAGCAGGTGCATGAAAGTAGTTTGGAAGACAACAGGCAGAGCTAAGAAGTATCACAAACATCTACAAAGAATTAACACTGTAAAAAATGCATTAATCGCATTAAATAATTGATTAACAGTGGTAGTCCACAGCCATAATTACTGATGCTTATTTATTGTTGTCTTTCTTATTTATTTAAATTTTATTTAGGATTACATTCATTAGGTTGCTAATGCTATGAAACTAATACATATTAATTTAGAAGCCAAATCTAAATTTTTTTAAAAAGTCTTAAAATACAGAAGAAGAAAAAAATCAAAACGAATTTGGACAGAATAGTGCTTAGGAAAATGTTAAATGGTAGGTCAGTCAACAAACAGTTAAATAATATTTAAGTAAATAAAAGTTAGAGTTGTTGATTTTAATTGCTAATTGCGGCTACTTAATCCGGATGGGTTTATGTTCAAAAGCCTTCATTCGATTCACGTTTTTTTTTTCTATTTTTTGTTTGAATGGAAGAGAATATAATCTTTAATAATAATTGCAATGCCTTTGTCCGCATTCAGTACAAACAGTGCGCTCCCGTTGCCCTCTGTGAAAGACTATGCGTTGTCGCCATCTTGTGGTGATACTCTGCAAATGCAACTGCAGGCTGTGTTTACAGTTGCTAAGCAATAAGTAGAGGCATTACAACTTTTACACCAGCTGAGGCTCCAACCGTCTTTATTGTTCTATCATGTCAGGAAACGAGAAATTGGATACGGTTCACCAGAACGCGATTCACATCGAGACGATACGGAAAGAGCAGAGACACCAGAGACTACACACCGAATTCAGCATCAACCCGCGACGGAAATGCAAGTTTCTTCATCTTGTTTTTTTCCATTTGAAATAATTTTTGTCGCGTCATAGAGCGGAAGTTCCACCCACAATGACCTCGTCCCTAATATCACAGATTCAACGATGACAAGTTCAACTTCCTGTTTATTTGCTGCACATATATACAAATATCGATCGATATATATTGAACCGTACCTGTACTCCAGCATAACCTACAATCTGTGTCTTCTAGTACACATTCTGCCAGATAAACCCATGTCCAGAAAACCACCGGAAGTGATTGAGGAGAACTGTAAGTTGTCACTGACTTTCCTGTGTGGAGTGACTACTGTAGTACAAGAAGTACTGTACTTATAAATAAATATACATGTGTATTCCTACGCCAACGCTTGTTCAAGTATGTTTTCGCATTATGCAGCGGACTTCATAGAGGCCTTCCATAAGGCACGGCAGGAGCCCACCATGAAATACACCATGCCGATGACAGAGAGTCAGGAGATAGGATGGGTGTCAGCTCCACTGGTGAGAACATTTTAATAAATTCTATTGGTTTATGTCTCGAAATGATTCAAAGTAACAAAGACTGGGGTTCTAAATGAAATGATTGGACTTCTAGAAATTATTTTTGAATTCTAGGTTTCATCAAACCGCAGCGACAGGAGACTGAATTTCTGCCGAACCAGCACAGACATCACCAGGCACAAAGAATCAGCTCTACGTTCAGGAAGTTAGTCTCCAGAAAAGACAGGGAAAAATTAAAAAAAAAATAAAAAATCAGAGAGACTTCTCACTCAGAGGTTCATTTTTTTTTTAAACAATGTATTCACTAAAACTGATACACAGGTTTATACAAAGTACTCTCTCTCATCACATTCTTATGATACAAAAACACAAGAAGACCCTGACAGCAGCTCACAGGTCAGTGGAGAATCAATGGATGGTGAAACAGGGTGAAAAGCAGGAAAAAAACCCAGAATACTCCAAAGCGTACACACGATGTACACGAAGGAAAGATGTTGTCTCTTCAAAGACAAAGGACACGGATTCTTCAGTTTCCATGGAATAAATCTGAACAAATTTGTCGTCATGAAGCTCCAAACACTCCACTCTTGTCTCCTCTTTATCTCACGGGGAATTAGAACTGTTTCAATTTTCATCCAAACTTATTTAAGAGGTTTTAGTTCAGTTCTTTGTTCTTTTTTTTTTATGAGCGCCCCTTCATCTTCTTTCGTACAGATTTTCCTGGACGTTTCTGAAGAACAAGTTACATAAAAAATAAGAAAGTGAGCACCATACTTTCAACTGTTGAAAAATGTGTTAAAAAGAGGAAAAAAATTGAGTCGAACCTTTCAGAAAAAAGTATTTTCATGAGAATTCAAGAAGTTTAGTTGGGAAATACTGGAGAACAAGCAGGCTAACATACTCAACAGGTTCCTCGTCTTCTCAGTTCATTTTCTGCTGCTTTATTAACAGATTATTTATAATTTGCAGTTCGTCTTTTTCTTCTTTGTTTTTTTTTTATTCATTTGTGTCTTTAAGGACGTATTTTTCGTTCAGTTGCGACATTTTTAAATGCTACAGTAGCATCGTTCTGTCGTCTTTCGGCGTTCTTACAAATGTAGACAGTGTCCTCTTGTGGCCACGTATGATATTGCTCCTATACAAGTTGCTTATACAAAACCAAAGCTTGTTTTTGCAATGAGTCAAGTTTTATAAACGGGTAAATCACGCTGTCCTGCTTTACCTTTAAGCTAATGGTTTATTAAATACATTCATTAAAGTCATTATTGTGTGTGTGTGTGTGACTCACGTTTTGTTTTCCTCCTTTGCCTTTCTTCCCTCCTTTGCCTCCTTTAGCGTGAGCCACCCTGGCTTTGAAGCTGGAGACGTCGTTGAAGCTGTCTTTGGTGTTCCACTTCTGTCCACTCTTTTTGCCTCCAAAGCCAAACTTTTGGTCCTTGTACTTCCTCTTATTATTCAGGGGGCTATAATAATAATAAGAAAAACAAATAACATCTTAACAATTGGTCAAATTCTATTTATAAGTACAAATACTGTAAAACAGTTGTTTTTTGCATTTATAACTTGAAACTTTACCCCTTCTTGTTCCCTCCTTTCTTCAAAGCCTGAGAGGCTTTCCCAGGAGTTTTCTTGTCTCCTTCCAGGAAGTCCAGTTTGTCTGACATTCCTGTGAGAGAACGCAGTCAGTCATGACCCTGAACCAAAGCTGAAATTTTTCTTCTTCATTATAAAATGATGGAACAGTAAGTACAGGACAGTGTAACAGTCAAAAACTCACCTTTCTGATATTTCTTCACCGCCGTCATCATGGCCTTCTTCTCCTTCTGTCTCTTCTGTAACACTTCTATTTGGACCTGACACACAATAAAGAGATTCAGGTCAGCATCTCATAAACGATGGATGCCTTGTATTGTAATACTACATGTTCGACGGCAAAAAACAGAAACCCACCTTTTTGCCGAACTTCCTCTGCTCTCGCAGTTTCTTGGCCTTTTCGGATTTTTCCAGTATCATCTGCTTTGAAATGAGCTTTTTCCTGATCTGCACAGAAACACGGAAAATAGCATTTAGTTTGTAATTAGAAACAGAAAAACAGTTCTTGAGCAACTGCCTGAAATAGTTTTCAATGCATGTAATTATTAAAGTCGTCACCTTCTGCATGTGCTGATCTGACTTGGCCATCTCTGCAAAATAATCATCAGGTCGTTTGGTGGAGATTCCATGTTTGTTTAACAGCGGCAGTGCATCAAGGACTGTGGCCTGAGCCTGACGGTAGCTGTAAAAAAGTAAAAAGTTTGGTCATTTTTGGCCTGTTTCTTCAGCGGTGGCTATGGCGGATAAGTTGCAGTGACTTTGACGGGGGGAACTCAGGGCTTAAGTGTCTTGGACAAAGATTAATTTGCATGAACCTGACCTGAACCCAGGACATTTGGGTGAAGGACAAACTCTCTGCTCAGTACGTGATGAGAGACGAAGAAAAAGAACAGATGAATTCTTCTCGGTTGTCCTCAATGATAGCGCCAAGCATACATACAACTGCGCTGCACCGCTACACTGCACCCTTTTGCATTTGTTTGTTTTTTTGACAGACCCAAATAATATTAAGGCTTAGAAGGTAAAAAATGTTTTACCAAGTTTAGATTTTTTTACTCTGTATTGTCAATTGGGTTGACTATTTAGCCAAGATTCAAACCAGCAACTGGTGATCCTTTAAGCAGTAGGAATAGGTAGCAATAGGAAGCCCACTAGGCCAAAGGCTGCCATATTGCATCACAAAACTTTAAAGTGTGTTCACTTACAAGAACATCTCCCTCTGGAAGTCATCATCTGCATTAACGTCTCCGTTGTTCGGTGTCGGTACTTTTCCTTCAGCCTTGGTAATAATGTCCTCCACTGGCAGATTGGTCCTATCCAACCTCTCCACCCAGGGAAGACTTTTACGGAAGTCGGCTAGGCACTGCTTCAAGCCGGCCTGCGTCACAACACGTACCAAAATACTTTATTAGGGCATGTCCAAGTACTTAAAATACTAACTTAACCATTTTGAAGCACAGTTCTATGACCAGATATAAATTATGGTATATAACACATATCTTTAATTTAGTCACAGAACTCAAGGTAGAAACTTTACATTTTTACTCACCACATTGTTGACAAACTTTTTAGGTGCGCTAACCATAAAGTTCATTCCTGGTTTCAACAACCCTTTGGCAAATGCTTCTTGGAGCTGAGGAAAAACAAAAAATCATACACGATTAGATATCTGGCAATAATAAACAGAGTGCCTCATGTTTGACCCAGAACAAGACTGTGAATGCAACTTACAAACATACCTATGCATAAAACAACTACACTGACTGGTGGCGTAACTACATTTTAGCCAACTGTCTCAGTAATTTCCTATTATCAGGAAGACTTCGGTAAAAAGGAAAATTAAGAAGCTAAGGAGCTACATACATGTTAGCATAGACACAGGAACTGAACTTTACTGCCAGCATCTATATATCTATTTATTATATAACTTATCATCACGAATGTTTGCCAACAACTTTACATGCCCCGTATATTCCATTTCACAGATTACTGTAAATGCAGAACCAGAGAAGTAAAAATAAGCATAGTTTACTGAACTCACCTCATTGTCTGATAAATCGCTCTTTTCTTCGTCGGAGTCCAGGCCGAACTGTTCATCCTCCTCTACTGGTTCCATGTTTCTGGTTTCGATAACCATAAGATCCAAAATATGACTACTTTATGTGCTTGTAATTCGAAGAACTACTTCAGCTCCTCACATGTATGCGTAACTCACGTGGGGAGGAAGTGACGTAGAATGGGTCCGCTCATAACGGGCCGCCGACGGAAACGCAGAGAGAAAACAGTTCCTACAAGTTTGATAAATACGAATTCGTTTGCTGTTATTTTGTAAGTACCGGTAGTGCTTTTTTTGCTGTCGAAATTTGGTATTGGTAAAATGGTAAATTAAGTAAAGCAATTCCATTCGTGTTTTTTAATGAGTATTTACTAAACTTAACAGAATAGGTTGTCGAGAATAAGTTATTCTATTAATGTACGTATTACTAATATTGTTTATTTTTAGATTGCATATATTATAAATATAAAAATATAAAGAACACGTTTTATTATTGTTAATGTCCACATATTTAATATTATAATAAAATTCAATAATTATAATAAAATAAGTGAGCTTGTGCTAATGTGTACATGAAGTAGACTTTATCCACAAAAGGCTTGGATGGACCTAAAAATACTAATTTACAGAAAATAAATTCATTGCTTAAGTTAGTTTTTGTTTTTCAAAAGATTTTCCATTTTTTCCTTCACAATTTAATTCATAGCCTAATATTCACACATTTGTTTTTCCCCTAAAGAAACAACCAAACAGTTAAACATTAATCTTCAGCAGCCTTGTACAGATCACACTTTCTCACACAATTTTGTTGATTTGCCTGAAGAAAATATGCTAATGCCATTAGTCCCAAATGTCTAAACTTTGTTCAATGAGAAGGTCAGACCTTGCAGCATTGTCACTGAACCAAGAGAAGGTGTGAATCACAATCAGTGTTTTTTAACATCGGTTGTAAACGGTGGTATTCAATATTTGTAGTCACGTAGCAGTTGTGAGTGAATGCCTTGCATTTAGACTCAGAATGTTCATGTACTGAATGTGAATGGTTTGCTTTGTCCAGTGACCATGAAAGTAACTCGATCTTGCGCAAGATGTCACCTGAGACGAATTCATCTGGAGTGGTCAAGGCTCAGAGCTGAACCAAAGGCTGTTCACCATGACACTGCAACTCTGTCCAAAAGACTGGGGAAATTACATCCTGCACAATCTCCAGGTATCATACAAACACTTTCTGTTTTCAGGCACCACCAAGTGCAATAGTGAAAAAGATTGTCTATATATATGACCCTGCAATAGACTGATGACCCCTCCAGAGTCAAGTGTCAGCTGTGACCGGTTTAATCCCCTTAGTGACCCCTAGAGGAGAAGTTGTTCAAGGTGAACAACTAAATGAATAAACTTTCCCTAAGGGCTAAGGATGCATTTAAGTAAGAATATGAATATATACACATATATATACATATACAGGGTATAGAAATATATATTAAACAATACATAATTTATACATCATGTATTAATTTAATACATAATTTATTATACTGTTTTATTAATTTAAATTAGGAGACTAACACTAATGCTCATTAATAATTGATATCCTTCACCATTTATATTCAGATCCCAACTTTAGGTTTTTTAAACAGGAAAAATGTCATATTTTTGTCACTTTCATTTTATTCAGTTGAGTCGGTCTGAACGGATTTTACTGAATTCACTTTTCATCACAGAGTGACAGGCAGCTTCCTGACAGCACGCTGAAATGAGTTGGATTCATTTTTACCAAGTTTCTTTCCTAAAGTTATTCCTGTTGCTGGAGCTCAGGGGGAAAAAGACCAACTGTGACTGTCTGGCCCGGCCTGGTGTGGCTTCCTGTTATATTAAATCAGCATGAAGATACGGACCAACCAGAGTTACCCACTCCACGGCTTGCGAGAAAACACGCAGCTTGTTAACCACTAATTGGGTGCTCACTTATACCATACTATTACACAGCCAATTATGTTCACAAATGTGCAATATTCATTTACAGGAAACACTGAATTGCACCACTGCACCACACTGCACATACACAAACATCCGCATGATCTTTCTCCTTTTAGCCTAATTAATGTTATTTCCAAAAGGATGCAAACAGTCAAACCTGGCAACATACCACACGTACTTCACTGTTCGCAACACACACTCACTTGACCGAAGTACATTCTTGCAGCATGACGTACAGAGGAAACAAAAGGAATTGTGGGACATGGGAAGTGCTGGTTATAAAAAACTAAAAGAATGAAGCATGAGCAGAGGAAACTTTGATAGAAATAAACTGTTTCTTTTCTTTGTAACATACAAAGCAACCTGAAGACCGATATATTTGTAGAATTGTACAGTACACCTGTGTATTGTCGTACAAGTGCTGAGGTTAACAATAGAAATAATGTCTTTCATTTTTTTCCTCTAAAGTTATTCTGACTCCTGTTATCAAAGCAGCCACGACATGACTGCTGAGGTGATGGATGGCAACATCACATCGCTGTGTTTCTCACATCTGTTTGAGCCACGTCTTGGATCTGACATGGAGACATTAATCATTCAACGCATGTGACCTCCGCAGACCAAATGCAAAGCAGGCGTCAGGCCTGTCGTTAGCTATGTTAGAAGAATATCTCTGTGGCTTTGTTTCACAGTGGCACTGTCAGAATGTGAGATGAAGCCGAGGTTGTGGAGTCAACAGATTCCTGGTGGTTGTTGGTGTCGCTACACTGCAGCTCTGCTGAAACAAAACCCTTATTTACATAACGTGTTTAGATGCTGCTCAGCCTAGAGCAGTTCACAAACTTTTCTCTGCAGCGTCCACCATTTGTAGATAGGACAATTGTCAAGTTTGCCCACTTTCTACAGCTTTTGCCTCAAAACCAGATTAAACTTGGCTGTTATTCTCTTTGAACAAAGGAAATAACATTTAACACCAGCACAATTTCCCCACGCTAAGACAAGTGAAGAGAATGTCAAGATATAAAAGCATTTGCTTCTGTGCATCCTTCGGGTATACGCACCACGTTTTGGAAACCACTAATATAGACTTAATAAAACAAGATCGTGCCTTCACAGGTATTGCTATACAATGAAACACACACACACACACACCAGCTGCACTTACACACATACCATAAATTCCTATACTGTGTGAAGGCTGTGAGGACTGTACTGTACTGTACTGTACTGTATATGTAGTGGCTGTGATAAGAACTGGTGGAGCAGCAGCTCTCTCTTAGTGTGTGTCTTGTCTCAGGAGACAAATTAAGTGTTTTATAATTTAATTTGAATGGTTTAGATGTGATTTATAATATATTTAAAATGTATTTAGACACAAATGTATCACATATATACTGTAGGTGGAACCAGAGGTTTATCGAGAACCACTTTACACTAAATCAATCATACTGTATGTTATACATATTTTTATTTTAGTAAATATCTTCTGAGTGAGTTCAGTGTTAACGAGGAGTATGGGACTGTGTACTGTGTATACTGTGTGTACTGTGTGTACTGTGTGTAGTGGCCATTTCAAAGCTGCAGCGTTTGCTTTTGTCAAACAGTTTGACTCTTGGTGCCATCGGTGACTTATTCCCCTCATCACACACGCTCTAAGGTCCAACAGAGACACTTCATGGAATAAGCAGTTCTCCGAGGGTTTTATTTACCTTCGTCACCGTCCTTTTCTTTGTGTAAATGAGGTAAAAATTGCACACTTGCAATCACAAGTCTATAGGAGCCACTGTTCGCGGCACAAAAATAACAAGCCCCCTCTGATTCACAGCAGAAGGAGCCCTCTTATACTTCAATCTACCTGTCGTAGACTCCTTTATCTTTTCCTTTCGCCGTCACTCCTCTGAGCTTTGTCAAAAAAAAAAAAAAAAAGGGCTGCATTTCAGCAAGTGGATTTGCAATCAAGGTTAAAATGAACAGAACCTTTAAAAATACGATAATACCATTCATGGAACCACCTTAAAAGTCGGACGAGGAGTTCATCAAGGCACTGATCGAAGCAAACTGGAATCACAGAGAAAACGCAGCAGGAAAAACGAATGATGTGCTTGACTGGCCTCTACAGAGACTGGCTGATAATCTCACAGATACGGAGTGAATCCAGAGGCAACCAAACGTGGAAGAACAGCAATGTTATTTATGAGGGGGTACATACTGCCTTGAAGTGTAACTGTCAGATGTTTCAGGATTTTAAATAATCATTTCATTATGATTGGCTCTGCGCAGATATTTAAACAAATTGTGAACAGTTTTTTTTGTAACATGTACATAGTTCAACATAAAAATCCTTGAGGCTTTAGAATTCCACACACACCTCCATGTTCTACAGGGATTACGGTGCTACAGAGCAGCGAGGGCTCGTGGACGGGATTTGCTGCTAAACTGCAACTTGATAAAGGTCATTCATCCCGGTTCATTCATCTGCGTGTTGAGCTTTTGGGAATTGATCCAAAGAGGTCTCCCGGTAGATTCTAATCAAACCTTTGGAGGCACCATCTTTTTTCCTTTGCATTTCTGTCTCCACACTTCCTTCTGCCCTTGTTCTTTCTTCCATCTCTGTGCTTTGCCTCCACCCTGACACTGATTAGAAGTGAAGAGACAAATTAATCAGGGGAGCACCAGGTTGCCAGCTCTCTCTGACACAGGACATCCACGGAATTTTTTAAAGGAAATGCAACGTCGACTTCCATCAGCACTAAAGGGGAGGGTGTGCGTGTATGTGTGTAAAAGTATTTGTAGGAGCGCCGCACAGCCCATGCATAATCACCTTATTATATCCCTGTGAATGGAATAGTGAAATGATCTGATTAGAGGTTGGACGAGAGGAGGAGGCAGCGGAAGAGGTCTGGCATGTAGAGCAGGTCCCATGGAAAGAAGAAGGAAAGAGAAGGGAGGGAGGGAAAAAGAATCAGGACAAGGGAGGAGGAAGGATGAGGAGGGGAGGAGGAGGGACGGTAATGTGGAGAAGGAACAGATGAGAGAAACAATTGGGAGAAAGGGAATTAAGAGAAGAGAAATTGATTAGAGTGGGAAAAGGGTAATAGAAAAAAAAACCCCACAGTACTGGTGCAGGAGCCGAGCGAAGGGACAGGGTCGGTGCTGAAGTTAGTGGAACCATGTTTGACCAGACAATCTCAAATGGTGTCTGTTTAATCCATGAACTCGTTTGCTTTGG